GCGAGGCGAATGTCAGATGAAAGAGAGAAGCCGATAACTAGTACATTCTAGAAACGATAAAACAAGAACCTTCCATAGCGAACAACTCGATGCTTCTACGCTTGATTATTGAATTGTGAATTACTGAGAAAATAAAGGACATTAGATTAATTCTTTATAACGAAAGAAACTGCAAATTAAGTTGTCGAGTTTTTATTTAACAATCCAGAGATCGTAACCGAAGAATTCAGAAAATCATCGAGGTTGATTTAGTAAAATCGTAACAATACTGAACAAAAATAAACAGGACAGCTTGACATGGCTTGCGCCTGATCTGTCAAAACACAAATAAGTTTTATTTATTTGTTTATTAAATCATAAATATTTGAACCTAATTTTGGAAGTATAACTCAAATAAGGACTTTTACTTACATACATGTACTCGTATATAGTGCTACATCCATTTGTAACTCACTCAATCACTGCCTCTTTTTGAATCTCGAAATCTGTCTTAAAAACTATATAAATGTCAAATCTTTAAAGCATAAATTGTTTCGAACATTTTCGGCGCTGTTGACAAGTGTAATTGCTGCGCCTGTCAATTGGATAGGCCATTATGTGCATATATTTGAATAATTTTGTATGTTTGTCACAGCGATAATGAAGATAATAAATTGGGCAAAGCGTTTGCTGAAAATATTGATTATCGCTTATATTCGTTCATTATCTATCCAATTCCACAATCTCTTTTGCTCATCATCAGCTGCTTGAAAAGTGAATAATCAGAAAATTACAAACCCTTGACAAAAATAAGCAAAGTCGCAATATGTGCGTACGTATGTGTATATCATCCATATACTCGCACATGCATGCATGTGAATGTATTAAACGGTGGAGATATGAATAAAAAAAATTATTTATTTATTTATTTATTATTATTACTTAAAAACTGTAATTTTTAACAAGTAATATTATTTCGTTTTTATATACATATGTACTAACTTTTGTATGTACGTGTATGTATTAGTTTTGCAAATGCGAACGAAAAATTTCCACCTATTTACATACATACATTTGATTGTATGCACGTGTAATTAATTTTTAAATGACAAACTTTTTATTTGCATTATTTATAATATTAGTTACTTACAAACATATTGACATATTGAGTGTGACGATTAAACACATACCTCAAATTGGAGGAGAAGCTCTGCCGAAAGTCGTCACAAAATGCCAATTATACATACATATATACGAGTATATACAGGGTCCGCCACGTAACTTTTTTTTTTTTTTTAATGCAAAAAAACAAATGCCCATTCGGCAGAGGCAAACCGCATCGGATGGTCTCGTGGCTTCAATTCTTGAACCAATTGAACTTTGTACGGTGTTATACCAAGGCCTTTTTTCAAAATTCGCCTAAGGGATGTCTCGGAAATGTCCAATTGTTGAGAGCGACGCTTCACTGATGTTCCGTGCGCCTCACGACACTCTCGGCCACAACAGCGATATTACCGGCAGTACGCACTTTTTTTGGTTTCTCACTCGTTGGTTTATCAATAATTGTGGCGGTTTCTCTCAATTTTTTCAAAAGAAAGCGCACATACAGAGCGGACGGTGCTTTGTTACGGCTCATTTCCGTGCGTAATTTTCGCACACATTTTCAAAGTCAAACTGCACTATTTTAACGCGTTCCTCAATCGTATACACAGCCATTTTCGTTCAGCGGAAGGATAAAACTAACTTTCTGTCAAATCAGATGTAACATCAGTGTTACCACACTCAAAATAACCACTAGTTCAAAAAAAAATGTTAGGTGGCGGACCCTGTATATAATATAGTACAGGGCGTAGTCCTGCTTCTAGATGGGCGTTTACAATTGCAAACCTAGACTCAACTCTTACACTTGCGCCCTAGTCGCGCACACAGGAAGCGATCGCGATAACCAACCGGTCTTGAGTCACGGCAAAAGAGGACAACAGCTTTCGTGGCGCCTCTCACATATATACGGCTTAACGTTTCATTGAAATCATATTGGGCACGCGCGTTGTAGAATTAATATGTTTCAAATTACAGATATCTCTTCACTGAGTAAGCTGTGCACTAGGCTTGATAGTTGCCACTAAAAACCTTATGACAACAATAACAAAGCACTGAATGAATGAACAGACACTTTTGACGATTATTTTCTAAGTCTTCAAGCTGAAGCTCGAGAAAATGGCTTCAGCAAACAATTAGAGTATGGTAGCACTCATTGGACTTGCAACGGAGTCCTGCTCAGAGATCCCAAAATCAAGAGAAATAATTACTAAGCATTAATGCAAGCCATGGAAAGACTTATTGATAGAGCGAGATTTGGCTAATGAAGAAATCTTTGTAAAACACCTCGGAATATTAAAAATTTAGAAATTTGTGCCAATCATTTCTTGAAACCGTGCTGAATGCTAATACTCAAGTAACGAATAAAGGCAACGGTGTTTAGGTAGAAAATTCATATGTGATAGAGAATATTCTAAAAACGTTGAGATCAATCGTAGAGAAACATTGTGTTACAGCTGTGGATCTATGGGTCTGCTGTTTTCACCCGCTGAAATGTTCGTACAATTTCGTGTGCCTTATAAAAGCGAAGAAGTTGCAAATTTTCACTAAAGCTAGCGCAGCTAGACATTCGAAGAGTGTTTCCCGAAGGACTTTGTAACGGAGTGTTCAATATACGCTTTCCTTCGCTTAAACAACGACCCGTTAATATGCCTGTTAAAGGAGAACCGGTCTAGAGGGATGACTTTTTGGCGTCCAATTTTAGCCGTAACTGTCTGGTCTTAGCCATCTAGAGTCTGCTTCTTTAGTAAAGGCCTATTTTAGCATGTACTTTACCATGGTGAAGTAAAACCTGCATAGTGTACATATATATTGTGTATAGAAGGGTTATTTTTCTCGCTTATTCGGCTGCCCTGCAATTGCCTGGGATTTCACTGCGTACCCAGTACACAGTAGATTGCAGAGATCTGATAGCAGCTTGACTATCGGAATATAGCGTAACCGATTGTTCTGTGCCATAGATTTGAGCAGCCACTAGGCGGCTTCCATGACTGCAAAGAGTTTTGTATGGTCTGGTAGTCTCATGCTCATATTTATTAAGAGCATCGGAGAGTAGCTTTGTAAAGATGGCTATGGCTCCCTAATCACTTACCGAAGGTGAGTAAAAATTGCCCATACATCGAATTAAAAGATATTTTGTGAAAGTTTGTAAACCCGCACCGCAAGGTACTCACCAGAATATGAAGGAAATTGAATTTCTCTTTATCGCTGGAAAACTATCAACATTGCGTGCAAATGTGAAAAATCAGATCCCGACTGTATGACGGACTTTCAGCAAACATGAAGAAGACGAAAACGCATAGCTGAGAAAGATGAACCAACTCCTGCTCAATCTTTAAAGCGTTCCAACCAAAAGAAAGTATGCTGGATCCTGTGATTGAATATTCCATAATCTCTATCTCTCCAAATCGCAAGCAAGAGAAGTAATAATACTTTTCTCGTGTATAAGGATGAACAAAGAGAGTCTTTATTGTTGATATGAAGTCATCATGCCCGATCATTCGACCTGACTTGATAACTAAGTATAAATACAGCACCCGAATCCAAATTGAGGGAGCAACTGATAGGAACTCTCAAATTATAGGAAAAATAACATGTGAAGTCATTATCGGAATTAAATTATTAAATTAAATTACATACACACATATGAAAGTTCAAAGTAGGGGTAATAGTTAGAGAATCATGGAGTGTAGAATAAGTACTGCAAGATTTTAATTAAGATCCCTTGAACAGCCCACAACCAAACAGTTTAAGGGTAATAACTGGATGTTTGTATAGGATATTGGAAAGTAAAGGTGGTCAATATTGGTGTAATCTGGTCGGAGTTTCAATAGGTCAAATTCCGGTGAGTTTGAAAGCATATCATAAGAGTCCTACTGGAAAGAGTCTAAGCAAGCAAAGATTCCACTGGAGTAATCATGAAACGATGGACTCCGAATAATTTTCAGAAGTAGATTTATTATTGCTTTATATAACCCAACGAAAGAAACATTTGTCTTTGAAATTTCAGTTGTAAATGGGGAACCCCAAATAAGGTAATCAATCATCTGAATGAAATGTATTGCATCCACTCTAATAAACCAGATGGACGCGGTAGTCTTGGAAAGACTTAACGCTTGTGAAAAGTGTGGAGAGGATGAGGTTAATAATCGCAGCATATTCAAGCGCATATCAATCTAATGTCCGTTATCAAGAACACAAAGTACGTGGGAATTTTCGCGGCTTAATTTAACAAAATCGTGAAATGAAACTAATAGGCGTGTGTATAAAAGGATTGTATGTTTAAATATATAAAATACTATATATGTATGTTCTTTGGTTGTGTGAATTTGTCTTGAAACTGATAACCTAGAATTTAAATTGTCTTGGCAACCCTCACTTTTACACAGCAGATGGCGCCGATGAATTTCGCTGAATATGGTTGTCAGAATTTGACACTACGCTTACTACATTATATTTTTTCGAGTTGCAACAATTATACGTATAATGCAAATTTCCTTCGAGGACGCTTCAAATAATAAACAAGAATAAGATACTAAACTATTTATATTTATCATGTCGTATCAGCTATATAGAAACACAACACTTGGAAATACTTTGCAGGAAAGTCTTGATGAACTCATTCAGGTTAGCAAACAGTTTGGATTTATAAGAAAATAAATCTGTGCAATTGCAATTATTTTTTGTAGTATGGACACATTACACCAACATTGGCCTTCAAGGTACTTTTACAATTTGATAAATCCATCAATACAGCTCTTAACCAACGTGTTAAAGCTCGAGTCACATTCAAGGCTAACAAACTAAATACTTACCGCTTCTGTGACAATGTGTGGACCCTTATGTTGAACGAAGTGGAATTCAGAGAGGTTCACGAATTTGCTAAAGTAGATAAAGTTAAAATTGTAGCTTGTGACGGGAAAAGTGGAGAATTTAATGGATAATATACTAAAATTATGAAAAATTAAAGAACTGTATACTGATATCTCGCAAATCACATTAATGGATTGAAACACACTTAATCAGACAGAGCAACATATATATGTAAAAAAAAAAGAAATTGTAGGGGGACAAATAACAAATAACATAAAAGATAATTTATATATAAAAAAATAAAAACAAGTTTTTAATAGCAAAACTATGTGTTTTTGCATGGAAATGTAAAAGAAATATGGGAATTGGTTAACTGTTCTGTGACATGAAAGGCCGAAACAATCGCTACTGAATTTTACTGAACCGTATTCGTTGAGGCGAAAAGGCCATAGTCTAATTGTTTTTAGGAATTTGTTCACTTGTTGACGGAACTTGGTAATCTTTTTTTTTTTTTTAAAAAAAAAACATTTTATATTTTTATAAAACCATCTCATCGTTGCTTGTCTGTTTAATTTAATATACTGTACATCCGAAGTACATATGCATGTGAATAATACATATACATATTCAATGGGTATTTCAGAATTATTTATTTAATCTTCTGAGTGAGGGGATAACGTTAAATCGTAATTTTATGTTTTTATGATTTTTTTCTCAGCAAGGCACTCTTTACTGCGAATTCGGGGCTTTATTTTAGTTCTATTTAATGTTGATAACCTTTTATTTCGAATTTTATGATTAAGTCGCGATTTCCTAAAGTTATCAGCAGACACGCTTTTATAATTGCTCTCCGTTGTTTTGAAGTGGTAAGTTCTATTCTGCTATTTATGAAATACGATATATGTCTAACGGCACATTAACTATACCCTTATAACAAAAAGAAACACCCTTAAATAAATTTTTTCAAATTTTTCATATATGTTTTTATTTACATATATAAGAACGATTCAAAAGTAGAATATTTGTCGATGGATCAACTACTTTAGGCAATATATGCATGTGTGTATTTAATTTATATATTTACAATAATAACGGTAAGAAAAGCGGCTTTTAAAATATCCTAAAAGAAGTTGAAAATTATAATGAATTATTCAAGTTTTTATATTTCTACGAAAAATGTAGGTCGATATATAGTTAGTTATTATTTTAGAACATCATTCTTTGCTCGAAAAACCGACGTTCAGGTCAGTTCTTTCAATACAGATTGCTTATAATAAAACTGCATCTTCCAGGGAATGGTTTCATTATGGACATGATATTGAACTTACCATTGTAGGTAACAAATTAATTTACAAAAGTCCCATAAATGACCCATTCCATATATATTTATGAAATCGAGCAGTGTTTTTCTTCACGCAACCGAGTACTACTGATATATTTTCATATCATACATGAACATATTTGATTCATACCCTCAAGGGAAAGCCTTAAAAGTTTTTTGAAGCAATTTAAAAACATTCCTATTCGACATTTTGAAACGAATGCATGTATTAATTATTAATTATTCAAAAACAATTAAATATAAATATATTTACTACCACACCCTCAAGAAAAAAATGTATGATTCGTTTTCCTAAAGGGTATGTAATTACAATTTTATACATACATAAATATGTCTCAACGTTATCAGTAATAAAATGCTCCAGTTTTCGTTTTAGAAAGCCGCGATTTGATATTTGCAAAGATCCAACTCAAACCGGTTTTGTATTCCGGCAAAACCTATCACCTTACATATAAATAAATGAAATAGACAATACACGTTTAACTTATGTGAGCATAACATCGTGTTTACGAATCTATAACATTAGCGAAGATACTTTTTACTTATTGTTCATAAGCACTTGTAAATAACAAATTAAGCTATTTATTCGATTATGCCAGAAAAAACAATGTGTGTAATAACAACGTAAGTTTTTGCTTTCTACTAAGCGATAACAGCGACCAGTCAAAACAAAATAAATATGAAACATCACTTAGTGACAACAACTTGTTATTACTTTCATCTGATTTATATACAATTTTCTGAATCAATGATATCAGATTATTGCACCCAAATTGTTACTAAGGGAACGCTGTTGAAAAATTAGCATAAACAATTTGTTTGCATGTGGACGTCTCTTAGTGAATAGGATAGAATAATTTACTATCAGCGTCGTTATAAAAAGTCTATTACACACTATGCCAGGGTCTCAATTTTTATATATAAAAAAAAAATGATTGTTTTTTTATTTAACAATTCACTATATTTTGTGTATGTATTCATATTTAATTTTTAATAATATCAATATTTGTACAATCAACCATATTGTTTTCTTTCAATATTATCAGTATTCAATACTTTTTATTAATAATAAATCCCTACTCAATAATTCTTACATATTGTTCTTATTATTTGCATGAAACAGTTAAAAAATTTAGCTATAAATACGTATAAATGTACATGTATTAGGCACTTAATAAACATAAATTCTGTAAAATAATTAAACAAAGTAACAAGACTCCTGCTTAATTGTGTCACATCAGTTGAGCGAAATCCATAATGTAATACTGTGCTCGTTGGTGCACTTCCGTACGTAGAACATTGCCTCCAAAGCCAATGACATTATCTGCAGGTGGTGCTGCTTCCAAATCAGTTGCACCGTCTCCGATCATAGTTATAATGGCATCTGGATGACAACGTTTAATAATTGACACGGCTTCTGCTTTACCACCACTTTTGGAAGTAGGCTGTGTTGTATCAAAGCTTGCATAGTCACCATTAAAGAAAAAAGTTAATTTATTTGCAAATACATGATTTCTTGGTATTCCGAGTTCATCAGCAATTGGATCTATTAGACAATGAAACCCTCCGGATATTAAATAAATTTCTTTTCTTTCCAACTTTAATTTTTCCATAAAACTTCGAATATTTTTCGTTAGGGTACACGGGCGTTGCTGGAGAAATTCAATGATTTGATTTTTCCTTGGCTGTATAATATTTAATCTAATATTTAGTGCATCTTGGAAAGTCATACCTCCTCCCATTGCTTCTTTAGTGACGCGTGCCACTTCCGATCCCTTACCGCAAAAATCAGCTAATTCATCAATGCCTTCTTCACATATTACTGTAGAATCTACATCAAAACAGATTACATTTGATTGTTTAACAATCTGAGCGGCACGTTCAGCGTTCTTGCTTGACTTCCATGCATCACGGTTAGAAACTGTAGCCAAAGGTCTGTTTATTGTGCATGCCTTCGTTGGAGAACTTAGTTCGTTATTATTGTCAGCACACGAAAAGCCAGAATTACTTGTTGTTGTTGCAGATTGACCAGCCCCTGCAAATGTATCATTTAACAGACTCCCGCTTCTTGCCACACGTACCGAGCCCATAGTCATGCGATTCATTGTTTTTTCTCAAATTACGCTAGTTACGTCAATTGTGAACAAATTGGTGTTAAACTTATCTTGTTTACAAATGCACTTATTTGCTTTGTTGACGCCTTGAAGTGATTATATTGCAATCACTTACGTTGTTTTATTTTAATATTTAAAATCACGCCACGAAAAATGCTTGTTTTTTTATCTCAAAGCTTTTTGGTCGGACGCCTCCTTTTGTTGTTAGTTTCGTAGATACAATATTACAATTTATAATTGGACAAAATAATATGGCTCTGGCAAGATATGTTTAATGTGGAAAACCAAGCGCGTAAATGAAGCAATATATACTCTTTGTTCAATTCTTAAATGAAATCAATGTGCAAATTTTCTAAAATTTAAATATTCCATGTGTCTTCCAATGGGAAATTCCAAAATAAATTAGCATTAAAAACATATGTTAATAGAGCTGCCAAACTTTGTTATTTTATATAAAATTGTCTGCTGTCCTACACGAAATCAAAGAACCTGTATTCATAGGCGACCTTTTTAAATGTGTACAGAGCCTCATTGCGAGCAGTATAAATTTACGATGGGTTAACGGCGTCAAGTCCGCATTGGTAGGAATTCAATCGGCTATTCGGGTCTTTCTGCAATATGTGGTGTTTTGATTCCGAAAATGCCATTAACTGGAAGATAATTCATGAAGGTGTTGACGGCCTCTTAGTTAATAACAAAACATAGATTAGAACAACAGCAACAACTCCTGCAAATTTCATTACGATTGGTCAATTAGTTTGGCTGAAACATGCATTGAAACCATAATGGAAGGCACAGCCTTATTATTTACAAAAATTTGCCAAATTCTGCGCAATATTTATTGCTTTAAAAATATTGAATAATAGAACACCCTGCACTTCGAACACATTTGATATTTTTACACATATGTTATAGCGTGCTCATCTAAAATAGTTATAAAATAACGTATCGTAAAATAATAAAAATGTTTTCTTTAATTTCTTCAATGAGGTCGGTGTTGGTTCGCCAGCAAAATGTTGATAAATTAAGAAGCCTTCATACAACACCATTATGTGAAGCCGCACGTAAAGGCACAAGAGAAAAGGCCCGTAAGAAGAAAGTAAAAGTCGAAGTAAAGAAAGTGGGATTTATACCGCATAACCAAAGGGACAAGAAGTAATTATACAATGAAACGAAGTCAAACAGAATATATTTAATATCTAAAATGATTTTTCAGAGTTAATTTACAGCGTCAAAATTTACACTTTGATGATTCGTGGAAGCAAGTGCCTCAAGACAATGTTTATGTATTGAAATATTACCGCTGGCCGGTATATACAGTAGCTGAGGCTATACAATGTCACCGTGAAACACATCATCCAAGTATATATAATGTACCAAATGCGCCATTAAACGTTGAAATAGAATTGGATATGCAGGCAGAGAAAAAAAATCGTTTCGTTGACAACTTTCAACGTATGGCAATGATTCCACATAAGTTTGATCATGGAGAGGAACGTAAAATCCTGGTTTTCACCAAAGGAAATGTATGTTATTTAAAAACTTTTCTTACATTTACATTATACGTAATTTTTATAATGCAGGAGGAAATCAGTGAAGCCCGCCAAGCAGGTGCATCACTCGTAGGGGGTATTGAGCTCATTAAAGATATCACAAATGGAGAGTTATTGCTGAGTGATTATCAATTTGTAATTGCTCATCCTAACATTTTACCTGAATTAATAGCATTGCGGGGATTAATGAAGCGAAAATTTCCCAATCCGCGAAGTGAAACACTTGGCACAAATTTAGCTGAAATGATCGAACGGTTTTCGAACGGAATAAGCTATACAGCTACCAAAGATGAACATCAACAAGATTTTGGGTTTATATCTACTTCTGTCGGAACTTTAGACATGGATACCACAAAATTGGAGGAAAATTTACGTTCCTTACTGAATGATGTGAATTCAGTACGACCTAAGCGTGAAGGAGAGCACTTTATAAAACGTGTACTGCTCAAAAGCCCGCCTAGTAGTGAGCGGCTCAAAATTGATGCATTTAAATATATACCAGAATTCTACGTCAAAACATCAAACAAAACGTCCGCAAAATCAAATGAAGCTCTTGATCAAGAAGACGAATCTAGTGAAAAACAGCAGGCCATAGCAGCACAATGATTATTTTGAATTAAATCTTTGTGCATTGATAAATAAAAAATCTAACTGCTTAGCAAAAAATGTTAAGAATTTCTGTTATATATTGATATGTGCTTTGCAAAGGAAAAAAATTATTTAATATGTTATTACTAAATTTTTGGTTTAATAAAAGTACCAGTTACGAGTTTATAGAAAGTTGGTAAAATGAAGGCAATATTAATTCAAGCCCAGATTCAGACATTACTTTATCATTTATATCACAGGGGTCCAATAAAAAGATTGCGCATATGGTATATATGTAATTATGTATGTATTTGGTCTAAAATACTAAAAAGTTTATCTTAGTATTGCGTTCGAAAATCGCAATGTATTATAAACAAATTAAACTTTCATTGCTATGCCTTTTGTGTAGTGCTACCACGTTCATGCTGACGTTGCATTTCTAGTTGTTTTACACGTGTATATGCGGCACTGGCTAATAAAATAATAAAATTCGATGTCCACCATAAACCCGACTTTGTATCATTATACCATTGTGTGGCTATAACGGTTTGAGCGCAAGCCTTTGCTGTTCCAGATATATTATGTGTCAATGGTGACGTCACCTGTGATAATGAAAAAAAAAAAATTATAAATAATACAATTTCTCATTATTTTTGAAACTACCTTTATCTCTAACACTGTTACAAATCCTATTGCGAAACCGCATAGGCCACCAACAACCATAGCACCAATAAACCACGGAGCGAAAATATGCTCGTAATTAATAATTGCACTGACTTCGCCATTCATTAAAATAAGTGGCAAGAAAAGGAAGCTTGAATAAACATTATTGTAGAAACTTAGTAGCAGAACTTCCTGTTGAACATGTACTAAAGATTTTTTGGTTTGAATAGAATACCATGCCAATATAAGCGATCCCATAACTCCATAGATCGTGCCTCGAAGAGAAAATTGTGCAGTTATGCTCTCCTGATCCACTCCCAATAAGAAACCAAAAACAACAAAAACGCAGCAAATTATTGCTTTATAACTTGTTTTCTGTCGTAACAGTGTATATGTCAGTACAACATTGAATACTATTGTCAATGAACGACCAATGTAGTAAAATGCCACTCCAACATATTTAAGGCATAAATTGTTTGTGCCCACCATTAGCGTAAACAATATAGAAAGCGGCAAAATCTAAATAAATAAGATAAACACATCTTAAAATAAGACATCAGCTCTATTATTAAAAATGTATATACCTTTCGAAATGTATCTATGTCAAAAGGATTACCAGCCGGAAATGTGATAACATTCGGGTATCGTCGACCCAACATACTCAGAAGACCGCATAGGCAGGCTGTGAGTAGACATTGAAACCAGCAGACGAACAGGGGCGCATCTAAATTTACCGTGTCGCTACTTAGCAGCAGTTTATTTACGAACACCGTACATATGGAAACCGTCCTGCAACCATCAGTATTTGAAAATTGATTTTAATCAAAAAAGTATTGTAATTTGAATTTCTTACCAATAGAGAGCAACGACAAAAAATATTTTTAGATATTTATTCACCAAGTAATTGTGTTCAGACATGCTAGTATACATGGCGATGATTTATTCAATAAATTGTGTTTAGAAACATTAAAATGATAACTGATAAATACTATGCTTCAAAAACCCTGCATTGATAACAATGAAACAGCTGTATAAATTGTTCATGATGTTTTTTATTTTGTTTATAGCGTTGTCAAAAGGGTCAGTAATAAGCTAATTCACATATGGTTTTTTTCTCGCCTTACCTCAGAGTGGAGTTTTGACAGATATGGTCGAAGAATGGTGTAACGATTTCGTCAAATATTAGGCCGATCACTGGATTGTTAAATAAAAATCCCAAAATTTATTTTTCAGTTTATTTATTCTAAATGCACTATTTACTATCTCTGTTGTAAACACTCAGTTTACTAACTATACAATTTTGCATAAACACACAGTCTAGTCAGCTTAGCTCCGCACCGATGTTGTCACTACAAAGTTCCAAACTCAACCTAATATGCTACTGATTGAAGCTGACCGCCGCTCTTATATACCAAATTATTTCTCGCACTCCAGAACATACTCGCCACACCTCATCTCTTTATTTTCAAAATTTGAATTTTTGTCATTCGCTACTTCAAATGTGAAGACATTTTCGAATCGCTTCATGAAAGTCCTTAGCTTCTGACTCATCTACTGGTGTCGACATGAACGTGCTATTGGATACAATGTCACAAATGAATGCCAAGATTTCATCAGAAATGCAAGAAGGCCAGTATTACAACACTAATACAAGACCAGGAAGTATTTCATCGTAGTTAGCTGAAGACAGCTCAGCACTTAAACGGATACGGGACAAAATCGATGAACGGCGAGATGAACTTCAGGACAAAATTGAATGAGATTGACGAACATCTCCGGAGCATCCAATTCAATCGTTCAACCACTTGGACGAACGCTCCGCTGCATTGATTTTTCGAGACATGTGAAGTTTTAATTGAATATGACGGCCGAATGATATGGTGTTTCGAATCTCGGCTAACCGGAGACCAATATACTAGATAAAGATGGTCTACTTAGAGAGACTCGCAAGATTTGGGAAAAGTGAGAGAGAGAATAATCAAAAATAGAACCTTCTAAGGATGCGTGAGAGAAGGTATATAAGAGCGGGGTAAAGTAGAACGGAATGAACAGGAGAATGAAAACAAGGAAGCATGAAAGTAAGTCTTGAGATTTTATTTAACAATTTAGTTATTTGAAAAGTCATCAGGTGTACTTAGTAAAATCGTTCTAATATTTCCGTTAACAATCGACTTTTATCAAAACTGTTCGTTCCCTAACGTAACGGTTAACACATCTTCCTGTGGTGAACGTAAAATACAACTTATTAGGTTCAAAAGTTATCATAATATGTCTAATTTGGAGTCTGATGATCAGGATTGGTTCAATAAAGATGAAGATGAGATTTTGCAGGACTTGCAGACTAAAGTAAACATTGACAACTCTAAAAATGAAAAAGTAGAATATATACACGGCTCTTCGGAGATAGGTAAAGACAATTTTAACATTTGGTTCTGTTATTATTAGTGTTTTTCTTTAAAAATATAATACAATTTCAGACGAGTACCTTCAACATAAAAGATTGGAAGCTTCGTCCAATATTTCCAATGTTGCCAAGTCTAGAAAGCTTACAACAGCAGATATGCGAAAATCATTAGATATGGAACCTTTAGATACTTTCCTCTTTCTTATAACCAACGAATCTAATTTTTTTGTTGATCAAATAACTGTAAGTGACGGTTTGGACCGAATTATTTTGTACTTACGAATTTGGTCTCGAATATGTAAGCTGGAATTGCCCGGATTTCAAAATGATCTATTGATATATTTGGCTAAACACAAAGTATTTATGGAGCAATTGCGTGTTGTGGCCACTAAACTTTTTCGTAAAAAATTTAATTCTTTATGGAAAGACGACGCAGTTATAAACGAAATTCTATCGGCTATGAACTCCTTAATTAGACGTTTGCATAAAAGTCAGCTTTTAACTTCAAAAGTTGTTCATGTAATACGCCAAATTAAGAAATTAATTGAGGACAGTGATAATACTAATATCGTACAACGGCTGGAATGTGACCACTTAGTTCTTGTTTTGAATAGAGTAATACGGGGAGAAAAGACAGAGCTGAAGGAGAACACTAAAGTAAAAAAATATAATTTGATCTAAATCAATGTAATTGGTATTTTGTTTTAGATTTATCCCTCACCGGAGGAACTATCTGCGAACGCAAAGGAATATACAGAAAGTGTGAAAAGTGTACAACCTTCTGATAATATGGACGTATTAGAATACATAACGTTGCAGAAAGAAATTCTACGTGAAGATTTTATGATTCCATTACGTGAATTTGTTATAAAATTAAAAGACCAGTTACCTATGGCACATGGACCGGAAATCTATGAGGATGTATGCATTGTTCTTAACAAGGACTTTGTTAATGTCAAACGCCATGAAATGATGTTCATTGATGTACTCGGCAAAGAACGACCGGTTAATGGAAATGATGTGGTAGTTTCACGCCAAATAAAAGCTAATTTATCGGCCATTAAAACGGGGGCATTACTCCTACTGACAACCAATAGGAACTTTGAAAATCTTATTTTAGCTACAGTTACATACACCGATGGGGAATTGCTTGGTTTAGGATATGTAAGATAAATATATTTATAAAAATTTTTTCAGCAAACTTAACTAGTATTGTAAAAAGTAGATCAGCATTGAAATTGTGCGCAATTACAATATAACCGCAATATATGACCGACCTTTCTTAATGTTCGAAACACCGGCCTTCTTTGAACCGTATAACAATGTCTACAAGTACTTAAATGATTACGGCGATGACGATCTTCCCATGAAGCAGTATATTATAAATGGTCAGGTAACGACAGGCTACAAGTGAAATATAAATTAAAAAGTAAATTTTCAATTATTACTCTTACAGAGAGAAGTATGTTCACCTCGTTACGTAGAACCAAACAAATCGTATACTTTTGAAGGCGAATCATTTAAAATAAATGCAACACAATCGGACAAACCGAAAAAACTGCCCCTGAATGAATCTCAGTGGAAAGCATATCGGGAAGCCTTAACGAAGGAATTTTCTCTAATACAGGGGCCACCAGGTACAGGTAAAACACACTTATCCGTGCAGTTGGTTCGTACACTAATTAATAATGCGAAAACACCTATTGTATTAATCACTTACACTAATGATTCGTTGGATAAGTTCTTATTGAAATTGTCTGAATATACCAGCAACATTTTACGTTTTGGAAGCCAAACACGTATACCAGAACTTTCAAAATTCAATGTAAGGCACGAATCCAACCAGAAAGAAATGGTGAATCCCCATCTTAAGCGCCTTTACTATATTACTAATGAAGAGTTTAAGGCGAAATTTCAAAAAATGCAAGAAATTCATACACAGATTGATGGTAGTGAGGAATCTTATCAGAGTTTGTTAGCTGCACAACGCACTGTTAGCGAAGTTAGTGAGAAACTAAAAACTATACGTATAATGTTTCAGTTTTATGCAGCACGAAAAGCTGATATTATAGCAATGACTTCAACTTGTGCAGCTAGAATTAATTTTCTATTTCGTTTGCTCCAAAGTAAAATTGGTAAGTAACTCGTAGAGTAGTTATTTTTATAAAAGTGGTAACTACCGTTTATTTTTATTTTTTTTTATTTTTTCACAGTAATCTTTGAAGAGGCAGCAGAAATTTTAGAGGCACATGTCCTAGCCTGCTTAACGCCATTTACCGAACATGTCATAATGATTGGTGATCACATGCAATTAAAGCCTTATACCTCTACCTATCACCATAGTAGCACTTATCAATTGAATATTTCTCTATTTGAACGGTTGTTTGTAAATAATATGAAAGGTCCAACACTCGATGTACAATATCGTATGCGCCCTTGTATTGCAGAACTAATTCAACCAACCTTTTATTCTGTGCTCAATCATGATGATAGTGTAAAGAAATATCCTAATGTGCGTAATATGGGAAAGAATTTATATTTTTGTACACATGACCAAAGCGAATTTCATTCTCAGGTATGTATTATATATATTAACGTTTGTGTGAATGCTTTATATGCTTAAGAATTTTTCAACTGTATAAGGGACTTTAGATACATCGTTAAGAAAGCTCTTAAATTGTTTATGTATCTGCTTCAATATTTATAATTAATTAAATGCACATGCAGGCAACCAAAGTAAGGATGCGTATTTTAGTGTAGATGACATTTCCGTGCTTCTTTCGATCATTTTCGTTAGCTTTAAATGCCAAATAAAAAAAGGAAAATACTAATTATAAATATATACCTACATTTATATCTATTTTTGTTGCAGTTCTTATCAAATATGAATTTTTATCGAATTAACAAATGTAATCACATCATCTTTAATTACAGAATGAATGTTCAATATATAACAAATATGAAATAAAACAAATCGTAGACTTGGCAAAATATTTGATCACAGAAGCTGCTTATACTGCAAATGATATTGTAATACTAAGTCCCTATGCCAAGCAAATAGAACGCCTTAAGTCCATGGTAAGATAATTATTAGCCTATTTAATTTATTCATTTAATATACGTAGGCAATACATTAAAACTTTTAAATTTCAGATTAATAATGACTTCGAAGACAACAAACCAAAAGTATCCACCGTGGATAGTTTCCAAGGGCTTGAGGCCAATATTGTACTACTCTCATTGGTGCGAAGTAACACTAAAGACCAAATAGGGTTTCTCAAAGAGAAGAATCGTATTTGTGTGGCCTTATCTCGTGCCAAGCTGGGCTTATATATAATTGGAAATATGCCGCTATTGGCAAAATGCAGTGAAACATGGCGATCGATTGAAGAGAAACTGATAGCACAGGAGGCCATAGGCAATAAGTTTCCAAAATTGCATGAGAAAATACCACTTTTAAGTTAAGAATATAAAGTGTTCAACTTAATAAGAGTATAATTTCACTAAAATTTGATGTTCACTTACCTTGGGAATATTTAAAATAATTGAAATAAAACGAAGAACACTATGCATTTTGACAGTTTGACTTGAGAATTTATTTATTATTATATATTATTATTTCTTTATTCTTAAGAAATTTTTCATTTTATTATTATTTAATTTTTTTTTGCTATTATGTATTTATTTATGCATTTTTATAACCACCTTTAAGCTACACTACTATGATAAAATTTTACCGAATTTAATTTATGTTTTTGACTTTCCCTTTTACGTTGCGGTGATTTGTATTTATGTTTTTTTTTTATGTAGTTATGTATGTATACATATGCATTTAATTGATACGATTTATTTGAGTACTTATTTGTAGATAAATAAATGATTTAAGGTATGAGCAAAATTAAAAGTTTCATGTAAAAGTTAATTGTTGAATGTGTCTTCAGCACTTTTTTGCCTGTGCAATAAATGGTCACACATTCAGTCTATTTTGATGCGTGTTGCAATGAAATGGAGTAATTCTTTTAGTAAACACTTTTACGCCATAGATAAACGAGACGTGAATTTTGAAATGTTAAACGTACGTTTTTAAGAATAATAATATTGAGTTTTGAATAGGTTTTGTACGACATTGAAGCATATAGTGTACCATTTATAAATCATTCTTCAACCACTCTATGCACATATATAATCAAAATTAGAGATATAAAATTTTAGCTAAAAAAAAAAGATTTCTGATAAAGTACGTCCGAGTATATATATGTATATTTGTATATAGAATAATATGCATAATGGAAATTACTTGTAAGACAGACACATTTATAAAAATAAATTAAAATTAATTTTTACTTTCAGTTCCAAGTTAAATAAAAAAAAGCGTTGAACGATTTAACGACGTTTTGTCAGAACCATCTCAATCCAAAATTAATATTTTTGTTCGGCACAATACTTCTACTTCGTCTTTCTTTCCGTTCCTTCAAACATATTTATGTTGTATAATAATTTATTTATTTAACATTTTCAATGCATATATACCTATAGTTTTATTTTATTTTTTAATGATTAAAACAAAATACTTTAAACGCTCATTATGATATAACATTTTTAGCATTTATTTGATTTTTTATGTATGCATGTATGTATTTATTATGTAATTTGGATCTGTATGTATTTATTATGTAACTTGGATCTACCACTCATTGTTCCAACCATCGCTCAAATTACTTTTTTGGCTGCTTGACTTTATAAAAATACATATATGTATGAATGTATCTTTGTATATATTCGGCGAATGTTTTATGATAACTGTTATTGTATTATTTCTTTAATTTGCTTTTTATTACAATACTTTGATTTCTATTTTTTTCTTTTTTCTTTTTGTTTTTTTTTTTGTCGTGTTTGCATAACAATTTTAGTATGTTTTATTTTTGTATTACTCCACTGTGTTTGAATATTATTTTCATTGAATGTAAAAAGTAAACATAAATTATACAAGTGTGTCTCGTAAGCATTTCAGTTATCATCTGTATGTTAATGTTATTGTTATTTAAACATATTTGTCTGTTCATCCAATCAAAGCTTCTATTTTCAAATGCAAAAATGCTCTTCAATTTCTCATATACATATACATATATTATTTTACGGTTTTTTATTTTCTTTAATTATGTTTTGTTTTATAATATTTTTACCATTAGCTTGTACAATTATAGGCTAGGTTGTGTGTGTGTGTGTGTGTGTGTTTTGTTTATAGTTTTTGTGTGATTTTAAAAGACTTATCTTTGCTGGCAATACAATTAATTGTGTTTTAACTTTTTAAATTGAAATAAAATTATTTTACTTAAAAACATTTTCACAAAAAAAAAAAAAAACGTAAAATTTTAGAATTCAACTGTGTGCATACGATTTTGAATGAACAAGCGAAATGTTGGAAGAAGCGATGAACGCAGCTCGTACGGTTTTCCGTTATTTTACTTTGCAATCTCTCTCATAGGTTGGATGATTTGCTGCGTGACAGACTACAACTTTTATACTTATAATTAGGGTATATTTAAAAGAAAGTAAATGCTAACTACAAAATAAAGCAGTATTACATACATACATATATATATATATTTGGATTGTAAAAATTTAAAGTAACTTTAAGGTATGTAAACTTAGAAAATTCTATTTCAAGCTTAAAATTAGGCTCATTTATTTAGATATATGTATATGTTTAGCATACACGATGAAGCCGATCGTTAGTCAAGTATTTCAAATTATAAGCGTGGGGAAATTACAAAAATGATACTGTGTGTGTATTAATACACTCTAATAGAATTTTGAAATTTCTTAATATAAAGTTTGAGCTATAAAAGTTGTATATGAATTACTATTTAATATCTGCCAGCTTATTTATAGAAATAAATGATTTTCCAAATTCCACGACATTTCATGGAAGGACGGACTAATCATAGTTAAAAAGAAGAAATACAGTTTGGACAAGCTAGAGAGATGAAGGTCATGTACACGTATATTAGAATAAGATAAACACGCAAACAGCGGTGGTTGTGCTAGTACGTTAAAGTAGTTGTCGCAATGAAATTTAAGTAAAATAAAATAGTCCAGAAAGTGGAAAAAGACATTAGTTATAGAGAAATTGAATTTAATCAAATTTGAATTAAAAAAAAATAATAATAATTAGTGGAGCACTTAGATGTAGCAACAATTTATACACAACGCCACGTAGAATCACTCCATCAAACTAGCTTGCTACTTTGTGTATTTGACACACACATACATAAATATATATATTAAGCTTAACAATAGCAAATAGTTTTGATGAAAATGGTTTGTTGTAAATAAAAGGAAATTATGAGGAAATCAATCAGGAAATTTTACGTGATCATAAACCATCATGAACGAGTAGAAGGCGGGGAGGAGGAGGAAAATGTGGTATGGGTGTAGGGTTTATTATAGTACTACGTATTTATTAGCTTTAAAACTTAAAATGTATGCACAAACATACATATAAATATTCATCTTATTTGCATTGTTGTTGTTGACTTTCGACAAATTCATTCATGATCATATCCAAAGTTACGGTGTTGGCGTTTTATACGTTGTTGCTTTGGTTGTTTTTGTTTTTTTTTTTTTTGTTGTGTGTTTTTGTTTGAGGATGTACAACAGTTTTATTGATCTAAATTGGTATACGAGGCGATGTATACATACATATATTAGTTATATATGCATGTAGGTATGTGAGTGGTATGAGTATGCGTTTGACTTTTAATTCCTGTGGATTACTGCACTTTTGACAATTATATGTATATGTGCACTGCTATAAATGTGTATGTAGAAGGTCGACGTTTCAATATTTCTATTTTTTTTTTTTTTGATGTTATCTACTTATTTATGTAAGTTTTTTTCTGTTTGTATGTTTGTTTGTGGTCTATACGCGGCGGTTAGCAGTTGGTAAACTTACGTCCTCCCGTTGCTATTTACAACAGCTGCATTAAAATAATGCATGTTGTTGTTGTTGTTGCTGTTGTTGCAACTTTCTGTGATTAACAACATTTTATTGCTACCGTCGATTAATCAGCCCATTAGGAGGCGCTTGTTGCCCAGCCGTATGCATAAGTTCCAATTCGACCAGTAATGGGAAATGATCCGATGGTATGTGTGGATGCGGACAGCCCACAACTTTATTCTCACGCAACCAATCATTCGAAATGGGACCCAACAAACCGAGCGGTACCATACCCGTTTTCGTATAGAATATATAATCGATGATACCTTTGAAGTCAAACGTATAGTTAGTGTGTGGCATTATGTCCTCACTATAGGCGGATGCCAACTTAAAGGAATGCGTAAACTCGCTAGTGTCATTCGAGAGTAAACGTTGCAGGCACGACTTATAGCCCATGTCCTTGAAGTCCTGATGATCCATTGCTACACGCCCCTTGCCAAGGAATTCGATAACACCCGAATCGGGTAATGAATTGAAATCGCCACACAGCAACAATTGTACGCTATTCATGTCATTCTTGTGACCGGGCCTAAAACTGTGACTTGCCTCGTCGATAATTGTCTTGAGCTCATTGCTTAACATCATCGTTTGAATGAGTTTTACATCGCAGAATTCGGGATCCCAGTGAATATGTGCAGTGCAAACGAGTAAGGGTTGAGAAATTTGGGTTACCTCCGTCATCGGATCCCAGGCATTCTCCTTCACCTTCAGCAGTGCTGCCAAACCAATATTGTCCTTAGGCATTACACGATTTAACATGTTGTCAGAGCCCTCAGCGTTGGCCATGGCCAATTGATTGAATTCGATTAAATGTTCCTTAATTAATGTGAATCTGTGAAAAGCGGAATAGGAAATAAAAAATATTAGTCATTTAGTCTTTATGAGACCTATAACTCGTGTACATTAACGTTTGGCTTTGTAAAGTTCCCTCTACAAAATTGGTAAGGTCTTGCGAAGTGGTAATGCAAGTTGATAAAAAAAAAAAAAAAATATGAGGTGTGTTCAAAAAGTATAGCGAATTTTGAATTTTCGCGGGTTACGTATAATCGAATTTCGATTTTTTCATGGCGTTATGTTGGTGTTATTTTGAAAATACTGCTATTGCTTTAGATATCATTATAAAAGCTATAATTTTTTGCCATTTGACAAGTAGAAGAACCATACGCGTTTCAACAACTTATTGAAATTATTAGAATTCACCATAAAAAAATTACATCGAAAAATCATCTTAACTGATCGATCTCGATGGTTACGACAATAAGCAAAACTGTCGCATCTGGGGCTCAAAAATCACAAGATTTATCGCTGAGAATCCTCATCATCCCCATGAACAATGGGTTTTACAAGTAGTAATGCCTGGAATACGGTACTTGGTCTAAAAATGGTCACTAGATCCCCGCTTCTCATTGTCATTTATTCCTAACTTTTTCAGCGTGGGCAAATCAACCATTCTAAAGGCATTAGCACTTCTATTATAACCATCGAGACTTTAGGTCGAGCTAAGGAGATATTTGAGTCATTGACCTACAGACCGTTGATAGGAGCCTTCTGCCAAGAACCGCAGTGTCACTGCAAGTTAGAACATAGGTGTGATGGACAGTTTATCTAACTTATCTGCACCGACATCCAGCACTATTACAGAGAATTCTTTGTTAAGACGATATTGGTCTATGAATCTATATACAAGCAAATTTTGTAGCAGCAAATGTAAAAGATGTAGAATGCAAATTCCATTTACATCGACTCTGGCAACTCCAGCTTAATTTACTGGCTGGTCCTTCTATCATGAAAAGAAGCTATCACTGCAGAAGTCATTTTAATTTTAATTAATAATCACAAATCGGTCAAGGCCAGCACAAATATTTTATTGAATTGCTGGGTTTTTAACACAAGTGTGTTTACAGCTGATTCGAATCGAATCGGTTTTGCTTATCTTCGAAAAAAGCAAAATTAAGTCGGTTTCATAACACCATTTCAAACATTGATATTGATTTTCAATTCTGACAAATAAGCAATTCTATGTCGGTTTATATAATACCTCTGGTAAATATAAAATACGCAATAGATGAACTAAAATCCTTAAGCCTACGATAAAAACGTTGGCACCCTAAACGACCGCATACTTGGTAGTAGTAAGGAAGGAAGCACACATGAGTACATCCCTTAGTCTAAATGGTGTTTTGAAATGAAAATAGAAGGCCTCAGATTTGCCATGGCAATGCCTTGCTAATTTCCGGCGATGAATTCAGATATCAAAGATACAATTCTCACTGTACCTTACCTTTTGCTGCTGGATTATTTCTCACTATTCATGTACATATATGTCTCAACATTAATTAAATACATAGCTGCTGTCTTGACTCCTAGTAATATATTGGGTTGCCCAAAAAGTAATTGCGGATTATTCATATAGTCGGCGTTGACAAATTTTTTCAACGGCTTGTGACTCTGTAATTGCATTCTTTCTTCTGTCAGTTATCAGCTGTTACTTTTAGCTTGCTTTAGAAAAAAAGTGCGCGAAATTTTGTTTACATTTGTTTGTTTGGCGTCAATTTTAATATGGAGCCCACAAAGGAGCATTTTCGTCATATTTTACTTTATTATTTCCGTAAAGGAAAAAACGCGGAGCAGGTTGCTAAAAAGTTACGAGATGTGTATGGTGATGAAGCCTTAAAAGGAAGACAGTGTCAAAATTGGTTTCGCAAATTCCGTTCTGGAGATTTTTCACTTAAAGATGAGCCACGTTCAGGTCGGCCAAATGAAGTTGATGATGACCAAATCAAAGCATTAATCGAATTGGATCGTCATGTAACTGAGCGTGAGATAGGAGAGAAGTTAAATATACCAAAATCAACCGTTCATTATCACATAAAAAGTCTTGGACTGGTGAAAAAGCTTGATATTTGGGTACCACATGTATTGAAAGAAATTCATTTAACACACCGAATCAACGCTTGTGATATGCACCTTAAACGCAATGAATTCGATCCGTTTTTAAAACGAATCATAACTGGAGATGAAAAATGGATTGTTTACAACAACGTTAGTCGAAAACGATCATGGTCCAAGCATGGTGAACCAGCTCAAACCACTTCAAAGGCTGATATCCACCAAAAGAAGGTTATGCTGTCTGTTTGGTGGGATTGGAAGGGTGTCGTATATTTTGAGCTGCTTCCAAGGAACCAAACGATTAATTCGGATGTTTACTGTCAACAATTGGACAAATTGAATACAGCCATCAAGGAGAAGCGACCAGAATTGGTCAATCGTAAAGGTGTCATATTCCACCAGGACAACGCTAGACCGCACACATCTTTGGTCACTCGCCAAAAACTGAGTGAGCTTGGCTGGGAACTTTTGATGCATCCACCATATAGCCCTGACCTTGCACCATCAGACTACCATTTATTTCGATCTTTGCAGAACTCCTTAAATGGTAAAACTTTCGGCAATGATGAGGCTATAAAATCGCACTTGGTTCAGTTCTTTGCAGATAAAAGCCAGAAGTTCTATGAGCGTGGAATACTAAATTTGTCAGGAAGATGGCAAAAGGCTATCGGACAAAATGGCAATTATATATTTGATTAAAGTTCATTCTAAGTTTTATTAAAAATGCATTTACTTTCTTTTAAAAATCCGCAATTACTTTTTGGGCAACCCAATATAACTAAACCAAGACTTGGACGAATCATTGACGGTATAAAAATTTATGTTAAACCGGCGAATCTTTCCTTTCAATTTCTCTTGATAAAATATCATTACAGTTTTCTTGCTGCAGTTTTTCATAATTAAAGGCATATTATACTTACTTTGCAGCTCTGAAGAAAATGGCGCACCCATCCACAAATTTACGTTCCATTTCGGACATAGTCTTGGCACGAGATTTCGGCGAGAAAATACCCTCATAGCCATCGGCCTTCAACTCGGGCAGAAAGAAATTGTAAAATTGTTCCGTTTCAATTTCTTGTAGACTTATTATATCCGCCGAGTAATGACGAATTTCGTCAAGTATTGCCTTTTTCCGGTATTCCCAACTCAGGGCCCATGACGGACAGTAGCCGTACATTTGGCGTGTTGCGTATTTATCGCATAAAACATTATAACACATAACGGTAAAGATGCCTTAAAAATCAAGAATAAGATTCAAAATTATATATTTTTTTTTCCAAAATATTATATTACACATTTGAAGTAAAAGCTTTCAGTACTTACAAGCAGGCCTTGATTTGTTCGGTTTGGCTAATGGTATCCATGGACGCTGTGGCGGAGGTGTTATCGAAACTGCAAAAAAAAAATTATTGAAATTTAATTTGATTATTCACAATCGTACAAATGTATGTATGTATGTATATCATACAAATCTTTCTTCTACAATGCAGTAAATTAGATTAAAACACAGAGAGTCTATACCAAAAATACATAGTTAAATTAAGAGAATCTAGCAAATTTCCGCCTAACTGTGTAGTTATCCCATAAGGGAATATTAACAGATAAGTAACTTATTTTTCCTCAGATATTAGATGATCAAGGACTTTTAAATTGTGATTTTCCATATGCAATTTTCATAGTTTGAACGATAGTTTTATAATAATTTTATTTGCAGAATAAACACCGGATAAAAAAATGGGGTGTGGGATGGTTGAATGGAGAATTATTTCTTTTATGCGTTTCGCAAACTGTTTCATCTCTACACCATGCAGCAGTTGTGACGAAATGTCATATATTGGGTCTGATCGGTGAGCTGATGGGCAGTAAAAATTGTTAACAACCGCTGTCAGTAAAATAGTAAAAAAAAAAAAAAAAAAAAATTAAACAGAGCCGCAACAAAATACTCAAAGCGCTAGCCGGCAGCATCTGGGGTAAAGATAAAGAAACTTTGCTGGCTACTTACAAAGCAATTGGCCGGCCGGTCGTAAACTATGCTGCTCCGATCTGGACGCCGGGGACGAACGGGACGCAGATGAAGAAGCTACAGGCTTGCCAAAACACCGCCCTTAGGACTGCGACAGGAAACCTCCTGATGTCGCCGGAGCATCACTTGCACAGGGAAGCATCTATGCTACGAGTTAAGGAGCATAATGCTTTGCTGTGCAAGCAGTTCCTACTGGGATGCTACCGCAGGGAGCACCCCAGTAGGCACTTAATAGAAGCTGAACCTCCACCTAGGCACATCAGGAAGGGAGTACTAGACCTCAAAGACACGATCCAGCAACACACACAACAACCGCTGGACAGGACGGCGTATCGACAGGCACTGAACGCCATTCACCAGGAGTCAGTTAACACCTTCATGAACTCCCTTCCAGTGAATGGCGTACTCGGAGAAATACCACCACCCATAGCAGACAACGAGCTCGAGCTGCCTCGAGAGACCCGCGTGACCCTGACACAACTTAGGTCTGGATATTGTAGCAGGTTAAACTCCTACCTATCCAGACTAGACCCCAGCATACCTAACGTATGCCCGGCATGTGGAGAGTCCCCGCACGACACTAACCACCTCTTCACATGCCCCCTCAAACCTACTCATCTAACACCCCTCTCCCTTTGGTCCAACCCCGTCGAAACAGCTCGTTTCCTGGGCCTACCCTTAGATGACCTCGACGACTTAGACTAACTCAAGCCTGTGCCTAAGCGGGGTTAGCGAATCCGCTACAACAACAACAACAGTAAAATAGTATACTAACTTCGTACCGATGTACAATATGTAAGTCCCAGAAAGAGAAGAGATAATAATACACGGTGTGTCCCAAAAATAACTGAGATTTTTGGATATACAATAAAATACACATTATATAATCTTTGAAAGTTATTATTTATTCAAAATAGGTTCCATTTGCCGTAACACAACGTTTGGAACGATCGACCAGCGCATGCATAGATTTTTTTATGTCATTTATAGAAATGTTCTTCATTACCTCGGTTACGGCTGCTTAAATGGTTGGGATATCATCATAAAATGCGCCCTTCATCTTGGTTTTCAGTTTTGGGAATAAAAAAAATAGTCACATGGTGATAGATCAGGCGAATACGGAGGATGGTCGATGAGAGAAATCCCTTTTTTCATTAAAAATTCGAGCGATTTTTTGGTCGTCATTTAATTCATGTGGAACAAATCGCGCACAGACCTTTCTTTTCCCCAAATCTTCAGTTAAAATTCTCCAAATAGTGTTTTTACTCGTATTCAATTCCTCAGCCAACATTCTCGTAGTAAAATTTGCATCGATACCAATGATTTCACGGACTTTTTCCACCAGTTCAGCACGATTACTAGTTTCTGGACGTCCTGCTCTAGGGTCGTCATTTAAATCCTCACGACCATTTTTAAATCGTGTAAACCACGTATAAACTTGCGTACGACTCATACAATCATCACAATAAACTTTTTTCATTAATTTTTTTTTTAAGTTTGACACACAATTTTATATTTGCTCTTTGTTCCATTTTATTTTTGAACCATTAGCACACTTTTGGTTTTATTGAAATGGCTGTCACTTTTACATCTGTCATCCGACTTACATGATGTTAGGTGCGTTTGAAAGAGGATGAATGTATCTTTTTAATGTTGCAAATTTTCAATAGATGGCGCTGTATGTTGTATGATTTAAATATAAAGTTCGGTTATATTTGGGACATACCGTGCATATAATATAATATAATTGGCGCTTTGTAACCAACGCCGAACGGCTGATAGTTTTTTTTATGAGGAGCTTTGATTTTCATGTCAGAAATACACTCGGAGGGCTTAACTTTTCCTGCCGAGGCGCGACCGCGATAAGAAAAATTAGCTTAATTTTTTATTGAAATTAATTTTCGATAACTTTTTGGATTTGAACCTAAGCCTTCCCAATGGCAGTACGCAATGCTAACCACTCGGCTACCGCCACCGCCGTTTGAAAATTATATCGATCGGGACAGAATGACGAATTGAGTTGATTTAGCTACTTATGTCCGCCTGTGTGTTTGGCTATGTGCTTGTTAGCAAACTAATGACTCAGTTTTTGAGATATTTTTACCAAACTAGTTTTTCAAGAAGAAATAAAACACCTATAATTTAATTTTCTTCTTCGTATCTATTACTGGAGTAACACCGTTTACGCGTGTATAGCCGAGTTGACAACATTGCGCCTGGTCTGCCCAACGGAGTGCAGGTATTCTTCTTCCTCTGCTTCCACCGGCGGGTACTGCATTTCAGAAAACTTTTAAAGCTCGTTCAGTTTATCAAACCATCGACTGTGGTAGCGATATTCGCCGTTCCCAACTCGTAGAGGGCCATAAATCTCAAGCAAAACCTTTTTCATAAAGTAGAACGGGAATGATGTGCGACTTGTTGAGTTTGGTTTTCGTTCGTCGAAAGAGGATTTTAGTTTTTTACTCAATTGCCCACTGTTTCTGCTTTGGATCTCTAAGCTGACATTATTGTTGGTGTTGTTGGTGCTGGTTCCAAGATAGACGAAGTTATCTACGACTTCAAAGTTATGACTGTCACCGCTGATGTGGGAGCCGAGTCGTGAATGTGGTGTTTATTTGTTTGTTGACATATCCTTCGCTTATAGAGTCTGGGAAAAGCAGAACTCACGGCGCGGATGTTGAGCTCAATATTGTCATTATCATAGGCGTATGCCAGCAGCTGTACACTCTTATAGAAGATTGTACCTTCTCTTTTCAGCTGTGCAGCTCTAAATATTTTCTCCAGCAATAAATTAAGAAGTTACACAGCCAGAACTAGTTCATCCAGATACTAACGGAGCATTTAATTTAATGTTATATCCAAGAATTCAGCTTTATTTTAAAGATATGAGTTTGCCATTATTTTTCAAAAATGATTTTGGGCAAGTGAGTACTGCGAGTAAATTCCAGCCGAGAGGACCAATTTTTGAAAAACTTTGCAGCAATTGGGGCCGCATGTCAGTGTAATATTGAATATCCTCTTCCAGGGCATCAATCGTCTCTGAATTATCAGCTTGCGACTTCACATAACATCACAAAAATTAGTACAGAGACTTTAAATCACACAATCTAGGAGATCTCTTCACAGGCCCCGGCGCGAGTTAATACGTTCACCAAAATTTTCCTTTGATAATGTATGGCATGTAGCGCCGTCGTGCTGAAACTAATGGTCGTCCATATCATCATTTTTCATTGACTACAACATTCCGGACGGCTTCATTTTTGAAGACTTACCAATGAATCTCTCTGAACTTCTAAGACACCTGACAAAAGTTGAGAGTGAATAATGTATTTATTTTCCAATTCAATAAATTCCACGGAATTTTCGGAGCCTTCGCGCATCTAATGCTTGTCAAGACCTTTTTAGTCCCTTCACTTTATAATCTTGCAATCGTTGTAATCAGCAGAATTACCTTGCACTTTGCAGGCTGCTAGAAATTGCTATAAAGCTTATTAAATATGAAAATAATTGATAATTGCACATTTCACTTTCTTTGATATAATTAAGCAGACCAAAATTGGAAAGGTGGTAGGTAGGCAGGTAGGTAAGTGCTGATATGCTTTACATCCACCAAACACGCAATGCTTTGCCCATGGAATATATGATCAGTAATTTTGTACAGATATACATACAAACACATTTTTTGTTCGCACATTTTCTGTGGTTGTTTATTATTCACTGTGCAAATTGCATGAAATCACTGAAGGAATTACAAAGCCGGTGGCGTCGCCGTCGAAAACGCTATAACCTTAGGTTGTATTGGATTTATTAAAGTGTTTGTTATTATGGGTGTATGATTAGCTTCTCACATCAGGCTTTGGATATACATATAACTATATATATACATATGTGAGTATGTTTGTAGATTTACGGATATATGGATATATACATATATATTTATATGGAGGTAGGTACAATGTTATGACGTTAGTTGGTGGAAATCACTGAGCAATTGCAAGCTCGATGGTGAAAGTGACCCACAAATTACTTCCGTGTTACTACTGAAAACAACAACATCAATAACTCAAAGTGTATACGAATTGTAGCAAAAATTCATTTCGAATAAATCCTAATAAATAAATGGCTGAGTAATTAATGTGGGATGTTTATTATGGCAACATATTTTACCATAAAATTTGGCAAAAAAAAAAAACAAAAAAAAGGTGATTGTTATATAGTTCCGACAGCAAACTGGAGTGATAATAATTTTATGTAATATTAAATTTAAAATTTTGTCACATTAAAGTACGAATAAAAGCTGGTGAAACACTATTGGCCAGTTCGAAAGATTATAGGGCGATAAGCGAAGGGAATCGGCCCTAGAAAAGTA